GGATGACAATGAATTTAGTAGATTGCCATGAAACTCTTAAAAATATATTATAATATCAAGAAACAAATATTGAGCGACGATTTCTCAAAGTTCTCACCAGGCTTCGGCACAAGCCGCTGCCGATGCGCCCGGCCCAAAAGCCGAGTGAGCCTGTGGCAGAGATGGAGCCCGCGCTCCGCTCCCTGGGGCTTCGGCCCAGAGTGTGGGGCGACGTGGGAATAAATCTGCCTGGAGGGGCCTCCCTGCCTGGGACAGACCTCTTAGCTGGCCAGTTACCATTCATTCCTAATCCTCATCCTCTTGGCCACCACCTACAGTAACGAGAACGAATAAATGAAAAAAGACTATTCCTTGCTACTGAAAGCAGCCCACTTTCCTAGATTTCTATAGCAAATGTCAGAAGGTTTTTGTAGGATTCACCTGAACGTTTATCTTTATACATTCACTCCCTAATTCAGACGGCGAGGAACACCTCACAACTTTGGAAACCTTCGCTGCAGCTGGAGACAGCCGGGGCAGTCGGTCCTTGGACTTCGCTGCACGCAGATGTGGCCGCACTGCAACCACGAGCGAAGGCAACAGGAGATTCTACCAGGTCAGCTCTGCCGCTGCTCGGCTGCCAAAGCCAGGACCTGCCTACCCCCAATCCTCTGCCGTACTGCAAGAAAAATAAGCCATTTTGTCTATGCCTCCCCAGGTTAGGTTTTCTCGTTCGACATCCAACATTCCTTACTGATAGAGTTCCGTAAGAACCAGACAAGCAGCGGCAACAGCGAGGAGGTCACAGCAGGTCCACAGCGGCGTACAGCTCTTTTAATCCCGGTATCTCGAGACATTCTGCTCCGAGCATGCTCTCTCGAAAGCCTGTTCAGAGTCTATTTTAAATAATTCATTTGTTTCATTGACGGTCAGGTTTTGTTAGAGAGCTTTCCCCAGTTTTGGGGGGGAGGTAGGTTGTTTGCTTTTTGTGCAACATCATGAGTCACTGATGAGTCATTAGCTCCAAATTATGCACCAAACACCTATTAGCCTCTGCTCTAAAGATCCCTCCGCCATTATTTATTTATTTTCCTCAGGTTAAATCACTCCTGTATAAATAGCAACCCTCTTATATTTTACCCTTAGAGGAAACATTAAGTCATGTAATATGATGACATGAAGGATACCATTATTCTCATGAAGGCCTTTGACCTTTCCACGACAGTTTCGAATGTTTATTTTTATCACTTGCTTTGAGACTATATCCTTACATGGCAGCAGGTTTGGGATTTACATCTTATCCAAGTCCAGCAGAACCCATGTTAATAGACTTCCATTCTGCTTGCTCTTCCACAACATTTCCCCAGAGCTCATTACTGGGCTTGAACCCAAAATTCTGTCCTCTCGCCTGTCCTCCAAGCTCATGATAAATAGGCAGATTCTGGGGCATGGGCAGCACCAGAAGATGATGCTCAGCAGTCCCCTAGTGGCCTGAAAGAGTTCGTGCAGTCTACTAAAATGCTTTTCTGTTCCATGGAGGTGTGAGAGATTCATTAAGCAGCAAGATCAAATACATGCCAATTAACACGTTCCTTTCCGGAAAGCCCTGGAAATACACTCAGGAGTCGACCCCGCCAAGGTTTGCTCTCTGGTGGGTCAAGCAGGCCATCCAAGTGCCATGCTGTGCCTTCATAACCTGAAATTTTGCTTTTAAATGAGGGATACAGTTTTCTGAATGAAATGCCTTGTTTTAGGAGCTAGTGACACTAACCCACTTATCTGGTAATAAGGATACTGTGCTTCCAGAGGACCTGAGGGACAGAAATGACACCTAGGTTGTGAAGGAAGGAAACCTAGGAGGCTGTCAGAAGTACAGCCAGCTCTTAGCTCAGGGTGTTTGTTTGGTTTTGGTTTCAGAGGTGTGTCTCTGCTTCTTTCTGTGCAACTGCTGCATTTCTGTTTCTCTATCCACAGCCATTCCTCGTGTTTCGGGAATGTGGCCAAACAGGCCCTCCCAACACCGACATCCTTAGTAAACGACACAGGCCAACTCTAATTTTTGGACTCCATTTCTAAATGCTGGAGAGAAAAGATTTGATTTGGCCAAAAATGATGATGACAAGGATGATTATTATGGTGGTAATGGTGCTGATGGATGGTTTTCTCTCTTGTTTATTATGAGAAGTGCCCTGCAATAAACACCTTCATGCATTTTTCATTTAATCCTCACCAAAACCCCATAATCCCATTTTACAGGGGATGAAGATGATGTCTAGAGATAATAAATAATTTGCTGAAGTAACTTGCCTGCTAATGAACACAAGTTACTTGATTTCGAAGTGTCCTAATCGACAGGCTTGATGGGGGATCAAGCAGTACAAGCGTGACAAAGAAGACCCCACCCTGTGAAATCATAGGGCAATTCTCATAGACACGGGTGCTCTTACAGGTAGTTTAGAAAACCCCAGCTGGTCCCCCAGAGACGCCCATGCTTCCCCTCGGACTCTCCAGTGAGAAGCATGCAGGTGTCCCTCTCTTGGAGTCGGGTTTCTCTTCCAGTCCTTTGCTCCTTTCTCTTTGATTCCTATATTCCAGTTTCTTGGAGTTATGTGTTCATAAACACAGTGTGAAATGCCACACCTCTGAGCTCATCATACAACTCAGAATGGCCTTTTCTAATCTACTCAAAGTTTACTCAATTTCTGAGGCTCAGTTCAAGTGTTATCGTTTTCATGAAATGATCAGATTCCCCCTCCCTACACAGCTGCCTCTTCACTGTGTTTCCATAGCACATAGTTAATAAGCCATCTTTTTTAGCACTCAGTCTCTTGTTAGTTCTATTATATTGATTATGAACATCTAGAATGTGAGCTTCCTCAGAGTGAGCATTATTTTTGAGAACTTCTTATATTCTTAGCATGTGACAAGCACATAATAAATAAAAGTCACATTGAACTGATACTAGTCAAACAGGTATAAACCTTGAATTCATATATCTGTGTTCTTTTAGATAGGACTTCTTAAATCCCTCTTAAATTTGTGTTTTTTGATTTGAAAAATTTATTAACAAAGATAATATGCACCCCTATGTTCATTGCAGCATTATGTACAGTTGGCAAGACATGGAGACAAGCAAGGTGTCCTTTAGCAGAGGACTGGATAAAGATGATGTGATATACATATATACTATGAACTACTATTTAGTCATAAAAAAAGAAGAAAATTTTACCCTTTGCAACAGCATGGATGGACCTGGAGAACATTGTGCTAACTGGAAAAAAAACTGTCAGAGAAAGAAAAACACCATATGATTTCACTCACATGTGGAATCTAATGAACAAATTGAACTAACAAGCAAAACAGAGACAGACTCATAGATAAAGAACAGGCTGCCAGCCCGGGGAGGGGGGTGGTGGGGGAGGGTTTGAGCAAAGAGGAAAAAGGACCCATGGACATAGACAGCAGTGTGGTGATTGCGAGGGGAGGGGCTAATGGAGGGCTAAACAGTAATGGAAAAAATACAATAAAGATAAAGTAAAAAAAAAGATGAAATATTCCATTTGTGACAACATGGATGGACCTTGAGAATGTCAAGCTAAGAATAAGTCAGAAAAACATAAGCAAAGCAAAATAAGTCAATAAGTCAAGCAAAATAAGTCAGAAAAAAACTAAGATTCATACGCTTTCACTTGTATGTGAAGTGTAAAACTGAAACTCATAGACAACAGTATGGGGGTTACCAGAGGGAAGGGGGTGTAGGGCACAGTAAAGGGTAAAGGGGGCCAAATACATGGTGACGGAAGACGGTATGACTTTGGATGGTGGGTACACAATGCAATACACAGATCATGCACTTGAAATCTACATAATCTTATTAATCAGTGTCACCTCAATAAATTTAATGAAAAAACTATCTCATAGGAAATCTTGCGTTCTTCCTGTATCTATTGTCTCTTCTTGGTTATAATCTCTTGAAATGCTCGTCAAATGACTTACGTCACGTCTTCTGAAATGACTTGCAGGGCTGTGCTATATGTCTGCAATAGTTGCCATCCCCTTCATAGAATGTAGGTTCTGAAGGTCCAGGCTTGGGTGAACTGGGTGGGTAGTGGGTGGATTTGATTTGGCAGGAGGGTGGTGAAGTGGGACAGTTGCTTCTTATTCTTCTGTTTCTGAATTTATATATATATATTAATACATAATAATAAATAAGTAATGTATAATGCTTTCCATTACTGTGTTAAATTTTTAATTTAAAGATTAACATTTTAATGTTTAAAGATACTTCTTTTACTCCTTCTTGTTCCTACCAGACACTGGGTAGAGAATGTTATTTCTTGGATATAAATATTTTACTTTTGATCTGCGGCAAGCCTGGTAAGACTGTACTAGCAAAATCATCATTAACCGTGTCTACAAATGCCTTATTCTTATGTCATTTCTACATGGGGAATCTTAATCAGCTATTTTATTTCCAAACACTATTTCTTATAGGCAGCACTTATGACACCGGTCAGGTTTCTAAAAATAGTGGTAGGATCCATTTATGTATCTTAGCTTGAGATGACACACCTTTGAAGGGAAGGATCAGCAAAGTACTTGAAGAAAACAGTAATCCAACAGCAAGGTGGCCAGGAGTTGGTAGGCGGTGTTAGAGGTTTTTCAATGAATAGTTAAGGGAAACTTTTAAACACGAAGGAAATGTGGGTCGGATGCAAGAAAGCTGATGAAATCAGAAAGAGAACCCAAGAGGGTTCCAGTAGCATTAGACTTCTTCAGCAGGAAGAGCTGCACAGGAATCCTTCTGTGAACCACAGAAATAATAAATGCTAAGCCCACTGGAACATAATCTCAATCAGCAAGATGCCACCGCTTTCCAGATTTTCTCACAGGGCTCTGCGAGCTCCATGCCAAACCTAGTGGTGGATTTCTTCCTTCTAATCTGCCCTGATGCCTTATTCAATTATTGTCACCGCTCTCCAGCCATGCACTGTGCCTCCTGACTCCCATTTCCCACATGAGTCAGTCAGAGGAGGCTGAGTGTCCACCAGGACATGGTCTAAGGGCATGAGCCACCGTGTTCCACGTGAAAAGACGAAAACAAGTACAGAGAGAACAAGGCGGACCCTCAAAATCTTCCTGGCAACCTCACCATCTACTGGACCACTGGCTGGATGCCAGCAAGGAGGAGGGACATGAGGGGTCCAGGAGGTTCCTCTAGTTGACTGGCAGAGAGAAGCTGGTTAGCGGGGAGGATAAGCCAGGAGGAAGACAGAGTGGGCATTCCCATGCACTGCGGAATGGCATCACCACTGCCCTGGCTGTACATGATTTTATGGTAAGATTATTTTTTCCTGATCTTTTTCTCTTTAGCTGAGAGGAAAGGGAAAGCACACACCCCCTGGGTGACTTCTATACCAAATCACGAAAAGCCTGGGTGGTGTAGCATGTAGTCGTGGTGGGGAAGCCAAGGTGATTGAACAGTGCATTTTCTCTGAGGCTGGGGGTGAGGATCACTGCCTGTCTACTCACAGGGTAGAGAATGCCCTAGGGAAACTTGAAGATGAAGGAAACTTCTACCCAGAGAACATCAGTCGGATCCTGGACAACTTGCTGGAAGGCTACGACAATCGGCTCCGGCCGGGATTTGGAGGTGAGAGAGACCCTTTAGCAGACCGAGCACCTGGACTCTCCTTCCCCTCACCGCCATCGCAAGGCCCAGGGGCCTCAGAAGGGAAACCGAGTGGGAAGGTGCTGGGGTCCCCGAGATAGGCCACGTGCATATTCCCATCCAGTCTCTGCCCCTCAATTAGCAACCCTAAATGTGAGTTATTTGAACTCTGTGAGCCTCCGTTTCCCCAACAGTAGTGGGAGTGCATGAACACTGCTTGCTTCACAGAGTTGTGTGAATGGTGAGTTATATTCTCTGTGTAAAACAATGGGGTTTTTTTAGCATTTGTCCCATTAAAATCATCAATATGTTAGCTACTGTTATAATTTTCATTAGAGTGCTAACCCACTTCTCTTTTCCTTAATTCCCCAAATTGACCATATCAAATTCAAAATAAGGCAACTGGTGTGAATTTTCAGAGGTGAAAAACTCAAGGGCCCCCTACTGGGATTACTTTAGGATGGGCTGCAGGTTCTGGCCGTGAAGGGGGGCTTTGTTGTAGCATCACTGAGTTCAGTTCCTTCAACATCACTGGGGTAACTGCCCCCATCCTTCTGGGATAATTGCAGGTGCTGTCACTGAAGTCAAAACAGACATTTATGTGACCAGTTTTGGGCCCGTGTCAGACGTGGAGATGGTGAGTGAGCTCTGCGTGAAGAGGGTAACTTACTCAGGGGGAGGGGGCCACGTCCCAGTGCTGACGACGATGGGCGTAGTGACCAGGCACCATCACTCCATACGGGAACCCGGGCCGGGAGGGCTCGGCCACTGGAGCAGCTGACTGCTTCCTCTCCCCCACGGACGGATGGCTCTGCTGGAACACTTTAATCTGAGGGGTCTTGTGGGACGATATCCTCTCTTCCGTCCATATGTCACACACTGGTTCTTCCCTGCAAAGAAAAGATTTCCTTGTCTTTATGAAGTCCTAGTACATGTCTGAGGTAGCAAAACAAAAAAATCCAATAAAGATGCCATGTAAGAGTATATGAAGAATGGCTGTGAAACTTAAGGCATAGAACTTTTTTTGGTAGTACATCATTTTCAGCATATTTAATTAAAAGGGTAAAGGGAGTGATTTGGAAAGGCTAATGCATTTCACCTCTTATGCTGTGAACAGACCAGTGGGTGTTCTGGGGACCCTGCTCCAGGTACAGATGGCCGTGGGTTCGTAGAAGGATATTTATAGTAAGTGGCCATGAAAATCTGAACTAGTCTTCTAGAACAAAGTATATTATAAATGCTTTCACAGTTCTTAGGTAGCATTTTCCCCTAAAGGTAACATATAAATATTAAAACTGGAATAAACATACCTTTTTAAAGAAGTGCCTCATTACATTTTATTAGGGAAATTCTACTTTTGGATAGAAAGTTTTTAGAGACTTTTTCATGGTCTGTTCTTTTGCACGGAAAAGAATAAAGGAAGAAGGAAAGAGAAAAAAGGGAGAGGAAAAGAGGAAAAGAAAGAGGAAAAATAAAAAGAAAGATACTAAGGAAGAGGAAGAGACAGGGAAGAGGACTTTAAGAGATAAATGTCTTAAGACTCTTCATTAACCAGAATCCTCAATTATTTTCTATCATACTTGTCATGTGAGTACTGAGTCACCCAAGTACAAACAACCACAACCATATTCTACTGTAGTATTTGAAATCTGGGGATACTTGGAACTTTATTTTATGAATCTGTCTCCTTTTTATTTGTATAATTGAAACTTGTTACAGCTTGGATCATTATTATATTAATATATTGTGTCAAATTATATTTTAAAAATATAATCACCACTTATAGTAACAGGTCTCATAAAAGAACATGTAAAGTAGGTAAAGCAATTATTGGCAATATTTTTATATAGTTATGTTGATATCTATCACTGACTTTTGCAATGAACCTTGTCATCATTCTTAATATTTTTAATGTTATTTCATAAAAGCCATAAACTAAAACTCATGATGATTATTATGCTTACTTGAATGATGCTGTTTTTGAGTGTTCATGGGAACATTTACTGTAATGTTCTCTGAGGACAATATAAAATAACAAAGATGTGCAGCCCGAGTACGCCCACCTGGCGAAGTTCAGCTTGGAACTTTACTAAATGGTATTGTGATGCCTGGAGACACCTCGGATGGTGAACAGGTTGCTAAGGGGAAGGGTTAGACTAACTGATGGTAGGGAGAGCTGCACAAAACCTAGACTGCAAGTATTTTCATATTTTTCTCCTAAATGAAGGATTGGGAAATTGATAGGTCGACAGATGGAGAGACGGCCGGCAAAAAGAAGTATGTGGGGGATGGTCAAGGTTAAGAAGGAAAGTTTGCATAACACAGCGCTATCTTTAAAAACAATACAAACTCTTAGGTTGAGATCAAGAAGAATTCACTGAAACTATAGCTTTCCTGACAGGTTATTGTCATGAAACCTTGCTTTATTCCTTAAGTTTTAGGAATTGCACAGAGAAGTCAGTGAAAAAACCATTCTTAACAAACCAGCCCCCTCAGCCTGCGTGAGTATCTCACTCTCTTTTAGGAGTACACCATGGACGTTTTCTTCCGCCAGACCTGGACCGACGAGAGACTGAAGTTCGGGGGGCCAACTGAGATTCTGAGTTTGAATAACTTGATGGTCAGTAAAATCTGGACACCTGACACTTTTTTCAGGAATGGCAAAAAATCAATTGCTCACAACATGACAACTCCTAACAAACTCTTCAGAATAATGCAGAATGGGACCATTCTGTACACTATGAGGTAAGGTCTCTCCAATTCTACTTCCTCTGCCCAACTGAGCTGTCCATCACACTAACTCAGAACCATTCATTTCAATGTCCCTAGGCTTACCATCAACGCTGACTGTCCTATGAAGCTGGTTAACTTTCCTATGGACGGGCACGCTTGCCCACTCAAGTTTGGGAGTTGTAAGTCACAACAAACTTCCGAGAGTTTTAAATAATGCATTCAAAATACACAATTATTTGGTTTTAATCAGAGCCTGGAAAGCAAAAGAGAAATAATACTGTGACAGTCAAAGTGTGATTCCAGGAATATATTTACTTAATCATATCTGTCATAGTCAGAGGTTTTAGTTGTCCAGATTAAAGAAAAGCATTAAAGAAAATTTCTGTCCACATTTCCTTTTTATATAGAAAAATATTTTCTTTGAAAGAAAAAAACCACCACTAGTCAGATTCACTGTTATGTTTAATTTGTTTAAAAAATTCAGATGCCTACCCTAAGAGTGAAATCATATATACGTGGAAGAAAGGACCACTGTACTCAGTTGAAGTCCCAGAAGAATCTTCCAGCCTCCTCCAGTATGATCTGATTGGACAAACAGTATCCAGTGAGACGATTAAATCTAACACAGGTGAGAAGTTGACCAATACATGTATGTAATTCTGCAAGGTGACTCTGGTGTGCACCTTTAAAATATCTATTTCTTTTTCCTCTGTGCCGGCCATTCTCAGATAAGCTTGATGTTTTGAAGTGATGAGTAGCTTTCCTTAAGCTGATTTTTGCAACCATGTGCACATGAAGATTTGTGTCTCCTTGGAATGAGTAGTTTTGCAGGTACATGACACAAAGAACCCCACCCAAAACAATGAGCTGATATGATCTATCATCTGCTGATCAATGCCTTTGTCACACATTAAAATATGCCTTTGCTGATTTTCTTCTAGCCTGTGTTAATTTGAAGACCTGCGAGATTTATTCCCAGCTGCATTTTTTTAACGCACTGTCAACAACCATAACATTGATGTATGTGTCTTCCAACAGGTGAATACGTAATAATGACAGTTTATTTCCACTTGCAAAGGAAGATGGGCTACTTCATGATACAGATATACACGCCTTGCATTATGACCGTCATTCTCTCCCAGGTGTCCTTCTGGATTAATAAGGAGTCTGTCCCCGCCAGAACGGTCTTCGGTATGCTTCGCTCTTTGGGCTCCATTCCCATTCATTCTCCAGCTCCCATGCCTGGGGCACTTTAGGGAAATATTCACGCCAGTGCATTTTTTCAGTCCACAAAGGAAATAGGCTCGTATCTCATTCAGACACTTGTATCGTGTAAAATGACCCTTATCGTATTGCAAGTTGCGTAGTGAATCAACAAAAAATTTGTCTCAGCGAGAATTCTGGCTGGTTTCCTGTGACTTTCATATGTCCTATTTAATAAGGATTTTTTTAAAAAAAATCTTGATTTGGTTTTTTATAACCAAGAAAAAGCATAAACATAAAATCTGACATATAAATCCATAAAAGCAAAGGCTAAGTTATTGAACCCAGTAACATATAAATTGTTTCTCACTTTAATTTGGTTGAACCATAAGAAATGCTATTTTGTAGGTCTAGAAATAGTTAAATATTACTAATTTCCCATGGTTCAACCTAACTATTCAGTTCCATTTATGATGTATAGAATCACTACTAGTTTTGATGAAACAAAACAAGAAAAAGAGATATAACAGAAAAATATCATCACTAACTAAATCCATTTTCTCTGAGTTTTCATGATTGTGAATTTAGCAGTCCCTCGGGAAGACCTAAATTGAACTGAAATCTCAGATGAATTTTGACTTTTTAATTTACTGTATTGAAATACGTTTTTCTGTAAATTATAAAAGAATATCTATATTATGATTTTGACCATATTCAAATAGTATAAATTCACCAAGTCATAATTCAAGACAGAAAACTGCTGGCAGATAAAGGATGCAATTGTTTTCTCATTAGTAAATATTTTACCTTAAAACCACGCTGGGAATTTAAAAAACTGAGGAACCTAATTTATGATTATTACCATACTTGATAAATTTCTTAAATATGATAAAAGATTCCATCAGCTATGACAATTGGTCAGAAGTTCAAGGTTTTATTATTTTAGTGATAATTTGCTTTAAGTTTTCTAAAGAAGTAAGCAACTAGAATTTTTCATGACTTGAATTTTACAATAGTTAAGCTGAAACAATTCAAAATATGTTTTGAATTATTACAATGTACAGTTAGTCACAGTAGGTATTAAGGATACAAAAGTGATAATACCTATGAAAGTAATTGTGAACAACTATAAAACAATAAAATAACAGCAAAAATCACATTTGGAGAGTGTTTCATCCTCGTCACCAGCATATTCACATTTCAGCTTATATTTGCATTCCAAATGCTAATTCTGCACCTCTCACTCTTCTCCATTTCAGGGATCACCACTGTTCTAACCATGACCACTCTGAGCATCAGCGCCCGGCACTCCTTGCCAAAAGTGTCTTATGCAACCGCCATGGATTGGTTCATAGCTGTTTGCTTCGCTTTCGTCTTCTCTGCTCTTATTGAGTTTGCAGCTGTCAACTATTTCACCAATCTCCAGACACAGAAGGCCAAAAGGAAGGCGCAGACTGCAGCCACGCCCCCAGTGACAGTACCCAAAGCCACCGAGCGCTTGGAAGCCGAGATTGTCTTGGTAATTGTTTACTTTACTAAGCTAACCCACTATATTAAAAAAAGGTAACGCAGCCCCTGATCACAAACGACTAAAGAATCCAAACGTACTGTTAGTTGAGCGTGAGTTACATAAGCCTGGTCCCAAGGCCGACTTCTTTTCCAGCTTCACAGGAAAACGCCTGCAACACTCCTTCATTTATTTCTGCCCTAAACTTTCAGTGTCCTCTTTCATCTCCCTCACTGGTGCTGGCAGGTCCCGGGCTCTCAAAGACAAGCGAATTCTGCTCAGCCTTTAGATGTTTGCTTTGAACAGGTTCACTTAAACCAACCAGGGAGAATAAAGTAAAAAATTAAAAAAAAGTTATTAATGAGCCTTTGAGACTTCAGAGTCTGAAGGAAACAAACAGGGACTCCTAAGGAAGGAACAATTTTTATTCAAAATCTGCTTGTTGGTTTATTCCATGAGGGTGAGATGTATTAGGTTCTATGAATGCTGACTCATAAGCCAAGTTTTTGATTCATATGGAAAGATTTTCATGGTCATGTTCATATTAAAATGTGGATATAAATATGGTTTTATTCAAAGACATAATCAGTGAGAAATACCTATATGAATTAAGTTTTGACTTGCTGTGGCTAAGCTCTGGTCCCTGAAGGTGTTTTGAATAAATAACAAATGACAGCATTAATAATTCAAGGTAATACATGTGCTCCCAAATTCCAATTGTACATATGAGTAAATTCTTCCAATCATGAAGTTGCAAACACTTTTATAAAGGATTATAGAGCTGATTGACAAGTACATATTTTTATATAAACTCCAAACATAGTGGCTCTTGCAAAGAGGAATATTTTTCTCTGTAAAATTTAGTAATACAGATACTTTCAACGGAAAATTTCCTTATACTTAATCAATTCTTGTGAATATTTCCAAATCATGAAATCACGTGCAGTCCAGCTAATTTTTGGTCAACCGTTATGATAAAAAGTTTTACAATGTTTGGATTTCACTTCTGAAATACTCAGGTATTTATTGGCTGAAAAATGATAAAAGTTTTACTGAAACTTTTCTCTTTGATAACCTAAGAAACTTATTTGAGAATTTACATTTTATCCAAGAAATAAAATAAGGTTATTCCCGTGATAAGTGGAACTATATAATTTAAAGATTTTTCTTGGATTATCCCTTACTAAGAAAGAAAAAAATGCCATACAGTGATCCAGTCTAATTACTTCACTTGCAAATCGAAAACAGAGTGTCAGAGAGGAAAGTTATGAGTTACTAATTGGTAGAAGAACTAGGAATTGATTTCAGAATCCTAACCTCCACAGCTTTACAGAGGCCGCACCGAGACAGGACAGATTTTCTATTCCTACAACCATTCCTACAACACTGAGACAGGACAGATTTTCAGAATGGAGCTAAGGTCATCTTCAAAATTCTTCCCTTGACTTAATAATTTTTTTAAATATAGGTATGTTTTCAAGGGTCACAAATATATACATTTTGTAAGAAAATGTCAGTCTGAAGATTTAGTCCTTGAAAATTACTTGTTTCAGAAAAAATAAATTGCAAGTATTCTTTAGAATTATTTTGATTGTAAAAACAAGTAATCATGTTGTAAGCCATCTGTATTTACATAGGTATATAATTGACATATGTCCAAAGGTTATATATTAACATACACTTATAAGGGGAGAATAATGATTATCGGAATTCAGTTTAACAGTTTGCTACTTGAGGAACAGTAAAAATTAAAAGAAATTCATGAGATACAGGGTAAAAAAATAACTCCAATTACTTTGAATATGCTTATTGATCTGACAGAGAAATAAAAAGACCAACTTCTTCACTTAAATTCTTTTAAAATATATATTACTGATAAGACTATGATTTCAAATCCTTGGAAAAATGGAGTTATTATTCCCTTAGTCTATTATTTTAGAGGTATAATTTATTAATAAGATATAATTTAAGATCTCAGGTCTTCATATAAACTACTTTGTGCAATTCTAAAATAGTAACACAATGAACAAGTCCTTTGAGAAGCTGGATAAAATACTGCATTTATATAATTTCAAAGTACTTGCTCTGCAAGTTTCCTTTTTTCTAATGAAAAATACATTTGTAAACATGGATCTACTTAAAATATTTTAAGGCAATGAAAAGTAGAATTTCATTTCTAAAAACCTAGGTCAAAGTATAAAAAGAAAAATAATTAAACAATACAAATCTTGCAGATATCAAAAATAAATACAGATGATTACATAGAACATTTATATTTTATTTATGTCAAAACTTGGCAGTTTGCCTTATATAATGTAGAGAAACAGAAATTATACATTTGCAATTTTTATAACACAATGGTATATTATGATTGCTAGGTCATTTTTTCCTTTCAAATACCATGACATTTAAAAATGCCTATTCAGTTGTAATCAAAATAACATTATTTGAGTAACTTGGGCATTGGAATAGCAAGCCAATGGTGAAGTTGAAATAAAATAAGTGCTTGGATATTTTATGTGATTCTAAATTGTACATTTCAATGGACTCATTGCTTTTCAAAAGAAACTATTTGTAATGAATGTGGAGAAAAGTTTATCACTGATTTCGACCTTACAATAGGATAATGACAAAGAAATTCAGGCATTTTAAACTGGAAGGAATACCTAAAACTAAATCCTCAGAAGTGTTCTATAGACTAATTAATTATTTTTCTGCTTTTAAGGCATTTGGAACTGGAGATTTTATTTTTTTTAGGTTTTGAGAAGGAACTGTCCATGCTTTCTTTTCTACTTATATAGTATTTATCCTTCTTGTTTTTATCTGGTATATTATCTTGGCCTTAGAGAGTTGTTCTTGTCTTCGTGTTTCAGAACTTGCGTCTGAGGTATGCTTTGCTAGCTTCCTTGTCATTTTAAAAATCTAAGCCCTTGTTACTTATTCCTAAAAGAATCCTCCCTCCCCGCCGACCCATCAACACATCCAACGTGGCTTTTCTTTTTCAGTGGAGGTATGGTGTTCTTGGTAAATTATCTACAAACAAAATGGATCAAAATGTCATTAGTCAGGACAATAGTTACATTTATACTGATTGCATTATTAATTCATTTATTCATTTTTTTTCTTTTCACCTAGCACTCATTTATCGAGCACTTGTGAATTCAATGAATGTCTTAAGTACTCTTATGTGCCAGACGCTTTGTAGAATGCTGAGGATATAGTAGTGAGTCATATCGGTAGGGTTCTCTTCCCTCATGGAGCGTCTTCTCAAGCAGGAAGAGACGAACCAATGAGCCATGAGTATGTGATGAGATAAAGGCTGTGTTTAGGTATGTGGGGGGCTGAGAAAGAGTCACGCCAGGGTACCTAACTCAGACTGGAGTGGTCATCACCCTGAAGGAAGTGATGCCTAAACAGGGAACAGAAACACGAGTCTGGTCCTGCTCTAGAAACACTAAGTCAGTTGCTAGAAACTTGGGAATAGAGAAGGAACTAAGACATATGTCTTTTCCGGAATCCTCTTCAAGGCTGCAGTGTCTGCTGGGCCATTGCCACATTGCCCCCACCTATGTAGAGAGATATGAAGCACAGAATACTGAGAGATTTACCTCCTCTGTTTCAAATATTGCCAAGATTTGTTTGAGTAATTCTACCATTACTCAGTAGAATTAAGGATTGTATTAAGACCGTCTGAGACCCTCAGCACCTGAAAGATCCTGGTGCCCCTTCTCATGGCCCTGTCACTGTGTGACTTACAGAGGGGGTGGGGTGGGCTGGCTGAGGGGTGCAGGTGGTTAGCTCTTCCCCCGTACCTGCTATCAAATCCCCATCTAACATTCCATTCTTCAGCCTCCGAACCTTCCCATATGGTTTCCAGACACGCCCCTAGCACCATGGACCCACCAGATCACTGGTCCAATAAGCTGCTTCTCTCTAGAAATTCTGGGTTCAGCTGTTTTTAAATCTACCAGCTGTAGTGTAAGTGCAAGATAATTTGACAGAGTGCTTATTTTCTCCATAGTGACAGACTAGTTTAAAATAATCTGATAGTTTAAAATAATGTTAAACGCTAGGTGTTTTCAAAAAAATTTTTGTCATATTTTTGATGCCCCTGTTTGCTGGCTCTAGGAGCAGATGCAGTGTTAGTTCCTTGAGGAATGCAGCCCTGGTTCGAACCTGTCTGTTGAGAGGTAACCCAGTGCCCCTCCCTTTGTAATATATTAGACTCATTGAACATTATATCAAAATTGCTTTACGTATTTCCCAAATGCCTTATCCCTACATCATATAATTGATTGTCATAAAGTCCAGTTTGATTCAAAGTACCTTTGCAATATGCTGTTAATTAAAACAAAGCTGTGCTCTAAAAATACCCAGAGCAGGATGGCACTCAGCAGCAGGGGAGCCCTGGAAAAATGCAAAACCACAGGTGTTCCACTCAAAACAATGACAGCCCCAAGCTGAGCCCTCATCTGGACTCCACAAAAGCCTATTTTACCATCAAGTGAAGCTGCTGAGCTTACAATGAACAGGAGGGCGGGGTCTGGTGCAAACCTGTGGCTTGAATGGCTTGGAAAATTGGCTTTTCTTTTCATTTCAGAAATTCAATGTGATTCTTTTAAATTGGCATCCAGTCTCCTGTACTGTGAATTCCCAATTATCCAGGAGCTGATTATTCAGCACGTATGTTAGTTAGCCAAGCTTCATGCCTTTCCTTGAGCATATCTTTGCTGCCTGCTAGAAATCCCTCCAATTACTGTTGGGCTGTGGGACAGTTGTAACTCTAATCAGTGATTCAGTGATTCTCAATGGTAGGTGGGTTTCCCCCCAGAGGATACTGGCGAGGTCCGGAGAGAGGGCAGGGATGCTACTCAACATTCCACGATGACAGAACAGTCCCCCACAACAAAGGTTTACCCTGTCCAAAATGTCAGTGGCTCTGTGGTTGAAAAACCATGCCCTACATTGGAAAGCGGATGGGAAGAAACAGTAACTGTTGAGCGTGAGCTTTGGAATCTGAGAGGGATTGAATTCAGGTGCCAACAATTATTACTCGTGTGAGCTTCCTGCTTAAGCCTTCACTTGTTCATCTCCAAAATGAAAATAGCGTTATTACATTACAGATTCCTTCTCGGAACAAGCAAAATAATACCTGAGAAGTGCTGTGCCATGCTCGCCAATAGTAAGCATGTAGATATGGTACCCATCACGTAATGTGAAATAATATGCTAAAATATAATGTAATATAATCATAAGACCTTTTGTTCCTTTCTTTTTGCCTGGCTACTGAAAGAATCTTGAAAAATGGTTAGCTTTTCCTTCGTTTTTGATCCACCATATGTTTATTAAGCATATACTATGTTCTCTGCGCTGGCCAGGCATTGTAGAGCACTTATACATGACAATAATATGCCCTCTCCCATTCATGTCAGGAATGGTGATAAGGCATAACAGAAACAATATTTCCAAGGAAGTATGTTATGATAGCTGAAAGAGTCATAGCAGGTAAGCAAGTAAAAAAGTGTACAAAGTGTGTGTGTGCATATATACAACATAGTCTTTCTCAAATTCTTAGGGAAAAGGAAAAAATCACTTTAAAGATAGTCAGTCGAAGCTTAGGGAGAGTTGATGAATTCTCTGACATGTGGAAGTATTGCAGCTGAGTAGCATATACGGACCTGCAACCTAGAGCTTTCTGACTCTCTGGTCCTCTCAGCTCTTACACAACCCTCCATAGAGACTGGGGAAATAAATGAGGAAATGCGGAATCCTGTTGTACGGAACCTTTCATTCCAGGCTAATGCCAATGTGCTTACATTTTTCATGGTGCTTAGACTGGAATGATGTTGCTTAAGTCTGGGCAAGGAGTATTTGGCAACCTCATTTTAAGCCATTTCTGACACTAACAATGCTAAGAGATCGACAAATAACTCCCCCGACCAACATCTCTAAAAAGGAGAGAGATAAAACAATGCTTTATGTTTCTATGGCAGATTATGTTTTATAATTACCTTCTCACATCAGCAAACTTTTTTAATGTCTGCCCCCTTTCTTTCTAAAAAAAAAAAAGAAAAAAACCCCACAGGTTTCAGACAGGCAAGGCATGATATTAAAAGCCAAGACAAATTTAGAAGGAAAATCTCTCTGAAGGCTTGCCCTCTTTCGACTTCATCATGATCCTTAGAAATCTTGCTAGAGGAAAAGATTTTAACGTTCCATACATCTGGCAGGAGGATACTTCTTGGAGAATGAAACAGTGACACACTTTCCTGTGTCAGGTGAAGAATAGATTAATGACATATTTACTGAATGAAAATTCAAACTGGAATCTTAGGAACATGATAGAAGCTTTCGTAGGACGGTGCTACGCTGATTCTCTGAGAGAGGCAGCACACATTAAGACCCAAGTACCACTCCTCTGGTCCTGTTCACGGTCAATGTCTGTGACCCTGGGCACAGGAGTCCTGGCCTGTCAGATATTTTTAACAGGAAGCATCACTTATTTTCTGTCTCAGATCAGCAGACTGGTCCCTCCACTATTTTAAATGATCTCCTACCTCCAAGACCTATGATGTATTTAGTTCTGTCCAGAGTGCCTCGCATATTACTAGCCCATAGGTAACAAAGATATTCTTTGCTTGAAATTCACCACAGTCCCAACACATTAGACTTGACTTCACAGATTCATTTTTGCTTTTGGTGAAGAAACAGATTTCTCCGTGCTCCCTAAAAGCACAGTGGGCTTGAATTCTCTATGATGACTATTATTATTTAGATGATCAAACAAATCAAACAGCAAAATTTGAGAGGGGGAATACAGAGAGAAGAGGCTCTCTGGGTTGTTGTCTCCTACAGTCCAAATGTCACTGCGCCGGTGGGTCATTCTGGTCCTGTGGCTTAGCCATCACAGGGGAGGTGGCGGCCTCGCCTTGCTTCTGCAGAGCTGCCGGCTGAAGCCACAGGAGTCTGCCCACGTGAGTAACGCTCCCCGCCAGGCAACAAAGTGGTGACTGTGCTGCCAGGGAGGAGACGAGGTGGTTTTACAAGAGCAGGGAGGATGTGCAGCAGGTGTTTGAAGGAGAGACCCCGCAAGGACGGCCTGGCCACAAGGAGAGCGACTCTTCCAGGGTGCAGCGAAGACGAGAATCAGATCCAGGCCGCCCAGTCTCCAACAGTGTGAAAGGAATCGAAGGCAACCAGAGCTAGAGTCTCTGCATGAGGCCCCGTGCTTTCCGGATGAGAGAGTTTGGGGATGAAGCAAGCTGTGCGGCTGGGTGGGGGTGGGGGAGACGCTTTCCCCCAGCTGGGTCTTGGCTCTCTCACCTATCAATCCGCGTGCTAAGTGTCCCTTTCAGGACTAAAATCGATTGTCTTATGATTTCAATGGAACAGAAAGTTGAATGAGAGAGAAGAGCATATAACAGTTCTGAGGTTAGGGAATGAATCATTTTTTGGTCACTTAAGATGGAGGAAAGCCAGTGGAGAATTTCTGAATAGGAAGCAGAACGCTCTCAATATAGAACTTCTGAGCTAAGAGGCAGTTGTGCTTCAGGGGATCGATCGTCATCCTGTTCAGTCTCAGGGTATTTATACTTTGTCACTGGCTTTTAACGCACATGAGCACCTTCCTAGATATCTCCTTAATCTCAGTGGTTCAAATTTTAGAACGGGCAAAGATGGTGACGTAGGCTAGGAATGTATTTAGGAGAATGATATCAACTAACTAGGCTGTTACTTTACCCTATATGAACTAACATATCCTATATGTTGTCCTATATGAACTGACATCTACATATTCCTCTTGAATTTTGCCCTCTCATTGCCCACACTCACTGTGCTGTGGGTTTACGGTAACAAGGGGCGGATCCGCTCTGTGCCCTGGCTCATCTCCTCCTAATGGCACAACGCTCAACATGGTCCCTGGGACATGGAACACGCCCAGCATCAACTGCTGATGTATTAAATTATAGGATGTTGGATGAAAGCAAATCAATTAAAAAAACTGTTTTGCTGCTTTCTTGGAAGAGTAGCACCATCAAATACTAGACAAATTTGCTGATATTTCATCTCACACAGTAGTTAAGTAGTCAATAAATAGGCACCAATGATGGAAAAAAATGAATCTGAATAAGCGGACTTTATTCTTTACGTAGGCTGACTGTTTATGTCTTTTTCCCGCAGCATCCTGATTCCAAGTACCATCTGAAGAAAAGAATCACCTCCCTGACCTTACCGATAGTTCCACCCTCCGAGGCCAGCCACGTCCTCACCAGAGTTCCTGTCTTACCATCAACTCCCATCACTCCCCCGCCGCTCTCCCCAGCCTTCGGAGGCACCAGCAAAATAGATCAGTACTCTCGGATTCTCTTCCCGGTCGCGTTTGCGGGGTTCAACCTTGTGTACTGGATAGTCTATCTTTCCAAAGACACAATGGAAGTGAGCGGCGGTGTCGAGTAGCTTGCAGACAGGGCACCCTGTCTTATACGAGTTCTCATTTTCTGAATTTTGTTTTCAAAAATAGCATTGAGACTTGAGTAGATGCTTTTCGAAATATGAAATCAAAATGGAAAATCTGTAACGCGGAGTTTTCGGTAAGCAGATACGAGCCAAAAAGCGATAATATTACTCCTCAAAATTGGGAGTGGAAGGTTGCTAAAATGTATGACTGTGGATGGTGGACACAAGATGCAATATATAGATCTTGTATCATAGGAGTATATACTTGAAACCTGTATGATCTTATTACCCGAGTCACCCCCATAAATTTAATAAAGTACGACTTTGGTGTACATTAGAGAGAAACTTTATAAGAAGGTAAGATTGATGCAAGGTGAATTTGCCAATCTTCGTTCTTCCTTGTTCAATATTTGAAATGTCACTGTGAATAGCATATACCACAATGCAGACAAAATAAGAAAGGCTGACAATTCCAAAGGTTGCCTTAAAATATATTTATTTTGGCTTAGTTTTCAAGGGAGCAAAATATAAATAGTGTGAATATTTACCAGTGGGTTACTACCAGCATGGTGGAGGCCTTTACGCTAGTGAAGTAGCTTTCAGTGGCATTGCAAAGCCTGTATTGAGCTTATCCATTTGTTTTAACCTTGCTGCGCTATTTTACCTCAATGAAGTATGGTGTTTATATACAGACGAGTTACACATCAATTATAAATTATGTATGCATATGTACATAGCTTTAGTTGGGCTGCAGTACCACATTGCTTTATCTTGTTAAGCTTTCCTTTTAAAATAATCTGTTCATTATAATTCCATGAAGTTATGGGAAAAAATAGTGATTAGAGGGAAGCCTTGTGTATTATGACTGTGATCATATCTTGTATTTTCTACCTTTCTGAGTATACTGCTAAATAAAACAACAATGAACGCGGTTATCTGGCTGTCTAATAAAGCAAGGGGGTGGAGTTCCCTTAAGTACAGAGAAATGAGGTGGTTACCTCCACCCCAATGTTAGTGTCCCCGGTGATTCTACCAGATACAAGAGAGGGAGGGCCAAGCTCAGTCAGAGACATGGAAATAAAGAACAAACTGACGGAGACCAGAGTGGGGTAGGGGGGACAATGGGAGAAAGAAAGGGAAGGTTAAATGAGGGAACATGTATAAAGGACCCATGGACAAAGACAATGGGGGAGGGGGGACTGAATGTGGGAGGTGGTGGTGGGTGGTGGTGGGTGGGGCAGGGGAGAGTGGGGAGGGGAATGGGGACAACTGTAATTGAACAACAATAAAAAAAGACAGACTTGGGTTTATACCCAAATAGTCAATCCTCCATCTCCTGTCTGCTCACTCATGCACTTTTAGTTATAAGATAAATAAGGTCTGAGGATCTAATGTGCAATGTGATGGCTATAGCTGTAATGTTGTATTGAAATTTGGTAAGAGAACAGAGCTTCAACGTTCTCACCAAAAAGAAAAGAAGGCAAGTATGGATATGTAAGGCGATGGAGATGTTAACTAAATCAACGAGGGAAATCATTTCACAATGTATATGTGTATGAAATCATCATGTGCACACTTGCAATATCTTGGAATTTTGTCTGTCAGTTACACCTCCATAAAGTTGAAAAATCTTTTCAACTTTTCAACTTTTTCAAAGAGTTGAAAAATCTTTTCAACTCTTCCTTTTCCCATAGCAGCTCTTCCTGAATCTAACTCTAGCCATGTCCCCACCCCCCCTTATGGAATAGCCCTGGGGAAATGGGAACGAGGGGTAGGAGAAAGCGTGAACCGCAGTCTGTCCAAATCCATAAACCCCTCATGGGCTGTTGCTGGGTCTCAACATCACGGAGATCACCCGCAGCGCTCACCCGGAAAGAAGGAAACTGCAAACATTCTGCAGCCAAATAAATCACATCTGAATGGAAGCAGCCTTGTACTCAGGGGGAGGAGCCTGAGATCTGCATCCAGCTTCCCTGTTCATTAACTTCATGACCAGATCTCTGTACCATTTGAAACTACAGACTGAAAGTCTATAGACTTTGTGCTCGAAATAAAGGTCCCTCCATCTTACAACTTACATTTGTTTCATTACTGTTCTTTTCTATCTAAATTAAGTTAGTCCAATGATACGGGGCCTGCTTTTCTTTTAGCAAGGACAGTAACCAATTAAATGTAAGGTAGGTGTTAATCATTTTATATGCTATCGTACATTCAATCTTGCTCACGAACCTGTAAAGGACTTGCTACTATTATCTCCATTTAAAGATGAGAAATCAAGGTGCAGAGAAGATAACTGTGTTCCAAATCAAGTGGCATTCAAGGACTGCAGCTGAGAATTACACCCAGGGCCAGCAAGTATCAATACATCTAAATATCTGTGTGAGCTTTATGGATAGACAGAACCGTCTCTACCTCTATGAAAAAAATGGCAAGCAAGGGATAAAATATGCATACCTTCCATGGTCCCCATTTCTATAATTAGTTCCATGACCGTAGTTGATATAAATAGCTTTCTTCCACGACCCTTCTCCTCAGTCAGCACCTCGGCTCGTTGGTCTGGAGTTCTTTGCCTCGCAGAATTACTGAAGACCTGCAGGACAGTCTCCTCGCATGTGGCAAGGTAGACTGCTTCCACCACTAGGTAAGTCTTAGAAAGCCTTGGAGTTTTCAGATGCTCAGCATTGTCTGAGCCCACTCAGACGTCACCGTACACGTTTCAGCCACACTTTCCTTCCCAGCCAGTGTCCGTTCTCACGAGGGGCCGGCAAGTGTTGTAATTCTACAATCAGCACACCGTGTTTTGCTGTGTACAACGAACACCCATGTTTTTGGCCCCAACTTTCAGGAAAAAAATGTTTTGTTTTTATTCTTTAATTCAATTTTTAATTTATTTATATTTAGAAACAAAACCGATGATCATATTCCAGGGTATTCTTTTGCATATGGATATTGTTATTGCTTTCTAGGTTTACATTTTTTAATGCATAAGCATAAATAAAAGAATTAAGAACATTTATATATATATATAGACATGGAATTAGTGCCACTCATGTAAAATCTGTGTATAAGGATTATTTTTCCCGCAAAAATTTGGGCAAAAAGTGCGCATTATACACAGTAAAATATGGTAATTAAAATATGCCTCTACTTTTTATGAGAAGCCAGCCCTTCAAATACAAGAAAGGAGAAATTCTTTTAAGATTGCCATAAAAGCTCTTTTGTTCTCTATTACTTGAGCTGAGAATTAAAAGCCATGAACTTACGCTTTTCTGTCTTTGGGTTCTCCAGTGATGAGGCCACCCACCCGCAGTTCTCACAGTCCTCATAACCGCTGCAGAAGTTCAGGTTTGAGGACACTTGGTTCTCGGGATATTTCATGACGGTCAACAGGAAGCAATAATTTTAGTTAAATGTGATGTGACTTCATATGATAAATTACTAATATCTCATTTCCCATTGGAAAGAAGATCAGTGGTTATTAAAGGGCATGGACATGACCAAGGAAATCTCAGAATCTTCTGGTACCAAGTACAGTTCAGGTAAACAAACAGCTACTCTCCTTAGGGGTGGGGAAGAAAAAGAAGGCAATGGGGTTATCATCCTGGGGAAGGTTCCCGCGGAGCCAGCACCCAGACATTTAGGAAGGGAACAATGCCTGGGGCACGTACTGCCTGTGAAGCTGAGGGTCATTCTCAGGACAGTCCTTATACAAGGAAGCCTTCGAACGCAAGGGGGAAGTCCCTTCCATTTTCCCTCTGCCTCATCTCCCTGTAGTGCTTCCTATTCTCAGAACCGAGTAGGAAGTATCTTAAAAGGAGGAGTAAGAACTGCAGTCTGGCACGAGTGTCACAAAGCGTGTATAGAAGGGAGGCTTTGACACTAAGAGACAATCGTTCCAACGGGCACACAGACTGTGACCTGGACTATTTCTCTGTCCAGCTTCAGCTCTTTCAAATGCTTCCTTAATGGCTGATTTTGAGGAGCCATACCAATCTGTTGGGGAATACATACAAGAGCAAGGAGACTTGTCAGAAAGCACTTACTAGTTAAATTCCATTTCCATGGGCTATCATCCAATGAGTTTACATACGTAAATTGCTTAGAATAGTGTCTGGCATATACGAGGCACCACGATAAGTTATTGTCTACAGTAGTAGTGTCATTGTCATTATATCATCTTACTACCGTAATGCCGGTATTAGGTGTTAATATGCAATTGGTAAAATTAAGGTGAAAAGCATTCCCTGTTCTATGAAATGTATAATCATGAATTTGCTTATGACAAATATTAGCTGGTACAAACATAAAATGTGTGCTATCACACCAAAAATAAAAGAAAACCATAAATCACTACTGAAATTGGGAATGATGCGTGGTAATTGTAACCCAAAGGGTACATTTTCAAAGAGCTTCCCATAAAGCCTGGCTATTTGATTATGTGTTATGGTTTAATAATGTCCTTACCCCACAATTTTGGCAGTCTAATGCTTTATGTCCCAGGAAAATCAATGATGATTATTGTTAAATCCTCCAGAACCCGAGCTACATTCATCTTTCTGACGGCATGAGCCTGTGCGCATGTGGGTGTGTGGGGGGGGAGCTGGAGATTACCACTGTGACAACAGAATATCCCTCTGAACAGGAGTTCTTCCAAACTACATGCCTTAGGTGCAGAGTCAGGTAAGTGACTTTGTGTACATTTCTAAAATGAATTCTTTTATTTGTCAATTACTACAAAATGAACAGGCAGACTACCTTCTTTGTTTAGCATTTTAGTTCTAAGTGAACACATTAAAATCTCACCATTTAGTTACTTCTTGAATTAGTCTTGTTTTTTTAATTTTTATTTTTTAAAATATTTTATTTATTTTTTGACAGAGAAGAGGGGAAGAGGAGGAGAAAGAGGGAAACATCAATGTGTGGTTGCCTCTCGCACGCCCCCTACTGGGGACCTGGACCACAACCCAGGCATGTGCCCTGACTGAGAATCAAACGAGCAACCCTTTGGTTTGCAGGCCAGTGCTCAATCCACTGAGCCACACCAGCCAGGGCTAAGTCTTGGATTTTTTTGTTGGTGGTCATGTGAGCTTCATTCATTTTCAATGTCTAATTTTTTGCATTATCCAAACGTTAATGTAACAATGTCTCACTTTTATCTGTATGTAGTTTACTTTTCTAGGGATATTAATTTTTCAGAAAACTGATAACTTGATGCTAAGCCTAGAATTCCCTTAACTCCCACCACCATCCATGACTACGCGATGGTCAAAAATAAAAACCAAAATACAGGTATTGAAGGGCAAGCATTTTATTTATAGCAGAGTCACTCCACATTTACTCAAAGCCTACATGCTCCTATTCTGAACCTAGTGTGCCCTAATTCATTTTTTCTTAATCAAAATGAATAACAGCAGTAAAATGTAGAAAAATAAGGGGGCTGTAGTGTCAGACCAAAAACAGAAATGACAGTGAGACAGAGGAATATAAAAAGCAAATTCCAAAATCACGGGCTCACTGTGCATGGAGGCACGCCACCCCACACCATCATAAGCAAAGGAGTGCAACCTTAAAGCACAGATGCCATCAGTGCATTTGATTCTTGCACTAGACTAGGGGTCCCAAGGGCAGTCACTTACTTCTTCGGGTTTCCAATTCTACATCTTTACAACTGTGGGATTTGATTAGATGATTTATGTAATCACCTAACACTTAAATTTTTATTACTTCCTAATAATTTTCTAATGTTTTCATGAGAGAGAACAGTGAGCCCAGAAATAAACCCATGTTTATGTAATCAGTTAATCCCTGACAAAGAAGATAGGGTCACACACTGGGGTAAAGACAGTCTATTCAGTAAGTGGTATTGAAAAAAATTATATAAATATATGCAAAAAATAAAACT